ACACTGTTACATTACATTAAATTTGATATATTAATTAATATCGATCTTCCAAATTTTATGAAATGGTGACTGAAGCTCACCTCTCGAGTGCAAAGGGTTAATATGTCAAATTTCAGATAACGTAACGGTGTGCGAGCTATTGAAATTAAATAATTCTACGTGTCAATTATCATACGATTTCTTATTCATTGCTCAGAAAAAATATCGTCAGCTTTGTAACAGAAAATCTTTGAACTCCTATTTTTCTTTAGCCAAAAAAATCGTCGAGTGCAAAGAGTTAACACTAAACAGCCAATGTTTATGATTTATGTATGTAAATTTATTAAATTAAAATGTGAAAGGTACAAACCGTTGAAAACACTCCTCGAGTTCTATATAGAAAAAGAAATGACAAAATCGAATGTTTTGCTCATGTCATATAAATAAACAATAATCTTTATTTCAAAATGTCTTTAATCTGGCTGTAATTGGAACATAACTTCTGATAATTCAACCTCGGGCACTCAAACTTTTGAATGATCCTTTGAGTACGTCTTGAACGATACGATCCATACAATTCCAAGTTTTGGAAGATTGGTCATATCTTATAATGCTAATAAAAATAATATCCAAAAGTATAACTTCTTGCATCAACTATTTGTACACTCCTAACTGCTCTGAGCCATGAATGAGATTAAATACATCTCAGTGCAGAAGCAATATAACTTATGTAAGGAAAGGTCTCTCCAGGTTCGTTAAGACATCGCAAAACACCTGAGCTGTTATTTCAAGCAGTAGGACACGTTTCAATTGTAACGTTGCGCCGATCCATCGCGTAAATATTGTTGCAATGCATTGCTTTGGGATTACGTAATTACAAATTCCAAAGTCTACTGTTTGCACCTGTTCTTGACATCGTATCAGCAACAACCTGAAATTTACTGCTTAATGATAATGGTGAATTGTGCTGTTATCAAATTCTATAAAATATATATTTTGACTATTTCTTTTTGATACTGGCAGAACAAATTGCATGTTCTAGTAAATTAATTATTATTATTATTTATATATAAATCCAAAGTTCTGATCTTTTTTTGAGTTTTATGGCTCTGTTGAAAAAAGAGAAGTTTAAAAAATCAGAATTTTCAGGTAATCTAATATCCCTTACACAGATCGTAAATATCGCTAACACTAGGATCACTGATGTGTAATATGTACCTAAATATATTGTACGTATGTTAACAATGTTTAATGTGACACGTTAGAATTAAATAAATACATATAATTACACTTCTATCTCAATAAAAATTAATATTAAGTTGATTTGAAAATAAAAATTTTGAAATTAGTTATTTTGACTCATTCAATAATTCCATTATTAGTATGTGCAGCACTTCAACTAAAGTTTGCAAGGAATCAAATATCCTTCTAATATTTAAAAACAATACAAATGATATCGAAGATATGATTAAAAATTAACACATATGACGACAGAAATTAATACATATATTTTGCAAGAACGTTTGGATGTCTTTCAAGCATATGTTCTGTGTTATTGGAAAATTTCTTTAGTATAGGGCAAAAGACAGGATTGTTATATTCACGTTTCGAATATTCCTCGCTTTCTTCAACTTATATGTACATACTAACGATTGCGCGTGTTATTTCTGTATGTCGACACCTGGTGAGAACAACCACCTGCATATCAGGCAGTATTCAACGAATATGCTGGTGAACTTCCTATAGCATGACCTGGAAACACTCCTATTCGCGAATATGCAAATTCGTAGTACATGGCATAGTAGTACACAAAAATCACGAATGTCTCTTATCTGCTAGTCGCCAACGTGTGTCGAATTGCAAAGTATACCGGGTGTTCCATTTATGTTGCGTATCTTGACATGAAGAATATGAAAGAATGTGTCATAATAGATGGTTTGATTTGAAACGAAAAATGTTATGATTTGTGATTGCTTCTCTGAGGATCATTTTGTTTATAATTCTCAAATTTATCGACATTTTTTATACATTAACGTGTATTCTTTATAACATAACATGCCAATACATATTGAGGTGAATTTAAAGACTTGCAACACCATGATATATAAATAACTTTGAATCGTTTAAATTTTGACGAAATATGTTCTAATCATTATAAAATAGAATAGATTTCATCATTTTCGCGATGTAATTTTGAATGGGTTAATTAAAGAAATTTGAAAAATATCGTGTGTAAGTTCAGTTAAATCATTATAACATTAGTTAAACTAATCATTAATATCTTCTATATATGCTGTAGAAGATTTTAATAATTATAGACAGCACTTGTAATAATCTTAAAAATTAAGTTGAGAAAATTGTATCAGAAATAATTATATCTGAATATTGGGAGATCAATTTTTTGAACGAATCAAATGTGTTTGGTGATACATGAGTATGTAGATGGACAGACTGTTAAATTCAGCGTCGTGAATAGTAACCTACACAAGAACAAACTATATCTCTATCGAAGAATTGGTTCAGATATTAATTCAGAAGAAATTTGCAAATATTTATGAAGTACGAGTGATGAATAATGCGAGAAAAGCATCTTTGATATTACTGACAATGAGATGTTAACACTGAATTGGCTGAAGATAATCGTGATACTTATGTTTTGACACGAAAGATACATCAGAAGGAATTTTCATATTACTGAGCCAGTATCTCAAAGACATTGACACTAACTTGGTTAAAGATTATTATTATGTTTATATTTCGATATAAAAGGTACAACAAAAATCACTTTCAACTATACAAGATGAACCACTTAATATAACCACGTTCATTATTTTCGTTATTAATAAGTTTCTATATTTTCTGCATTTAGTAGCACATTTAATTTCAAAGAAAACAAATCTTAAAGTGTCTTTAATATCCTATCATTTACGTTTTTTGTTGGTTTCTTAGTAACAAACTAATTAAAAATAATTGATATCGTCACGTTAGATAGTACACTCTGTGTATTCAAATTAATATTCCACTTTACATCAAAGATACGTCAAATAGATAAAAATACCTCCATTTTTTAACATACTTTATGCTGATTATACGATATTGCCATTTCCGCTCTTACTATATACTTATACAAGTTATTATCATTTCTTTTTTGTTTGGTATGAATTTTGTTGTTCAGTAAAAATACAGTATATGTCCTTAAAATATTTATCTTACACTATTTTATGAAAATATAAAAAAACTTGTAATGAATTCTCTTACAAATATTTATACCTCTCAAAGATTAAAAGCTATTGTATAATGTACTAAAAAATGATTAACAATTATTATTTTACATTTTCTCTTATAGAAATATATAAAAAGTTTAGTTTTCAGGAACACCTTGTATACGTATTAAGGATTCCTATTTGTGATCCTCGCATGTACGGAAAATTCTTCCGTAATTTCATGCTCAATCCAACGGTTATCGCATTCAGTATTGTCTCTATTGTAAAGTCTCTAAACAATAGTAGATTGGAAATGCCTTCAATGTATTTCATGTTTGTATACTTTATAATACAAATTTTAAAAAAAAAGTATAATTAGAACAATATTTTAAAACAAAATGAAATTTAATTTACAAAAACAACGACGTATATATTGGACTATAAGAAATATAAAAATTCAAATTGTAGAATATTCCTCAACGATAACTACGTTACTTTGAAGCGGTTATGAAAAGTATGAGAAAACTATGCATAAAGTGCTTACAAAGTGCCTACTAAAGCAGCGTTTGATTATTTTCTTTAATAAAGACATTCGTTTAAAATATTTCACCTTGTACTTATTGTTCAACTACCTGTCTTCTAACACTTCTTTTCATGTACATCATGAAAGTATTGTATTTATGTACCATATTATATTATGCCATAACATATTTTCACGACCAGCAGATACAAGCAAATGTATATTTGCAAATACAGCTTCATACTTGCAGGAAAGAGTTTATTATTGATATATTTGCTTATATAGATATCCATATGAGATAATAGATAAAGAAAAAAAAAACATGGAAAATAAATATTAAAAAATAATTAAGTCGAGAATGAAGTTGGTTAAATCCATAAGTAGTGCTCTGTAAATTTTAGTTTTCAAAATAGAAACTAATTTAAAAACGTAAAGAGGCTACTAACAAGACAATTAGTGAAATTACAATCTCTTTATTTTCTATTACAATCTCCGGCAACACAGAAAATGCATCATCTTTTTATGGTATTAATCCTGTATGACCTTCGAACGATTTTGCTTTTATTATGCAACAGAGCTACTATGAATAGTATTGGAGAAACGTTTATATGTCAAAAAATCAATCAACATAGAAACACAAACGTAAAAGTTTGTATCGAGAATAAAAGACATTTAATAAATAACTTTTATAGAATATTGCTATGATATATGCATGTGCATATGCATATTAATATACCAATTATTAAAGGAATGAAAAATCTTACTATCGTACTACGTGTTTGCTTATTTCATTATCTTTATTTCTAATCTATATAACTTTCTATATAAATAATTTTGTAATATTTTCTCAAAACGTTGTATTATAGAATTTATAAAACTTCTAATCTGCTTTTAACATATTTAAATTATTCAATTACCGAATTATTTCGTAATTTTTATACATACGATAATTAAGAAAATTATATTTATATTTATAGACGTATAGACTTAAATTGAATTTTAACATTAAATTTTGCATGGTACACACTTGAATAATGATTTGTACTAAGTAATGTAATTTCGTAATACACATTTCATATAGAACAAGGTAGAAAATAATATTAATATCTATTCCATTAAAATTATTTATTTTTTGGTAACAAAGTACTTCTGTTTCTAATCTTTAAATTTATTTGAATTGACAAGAGAATACCTATGTATATACTATATGCTCGATCAGATAACAATTAATATATATCTCGTTGTCCTTAAAATTTAAGAAAACCATTTAACTGCCAATGAACTTTGTAGACCAAAACTTACCTGTCGAAAGAAATGATGACAAGAGTAAGAACACTTGAAGCGACCGTCACGTGTGCCACAAAGTTATTTACAGTGCAATATACCACACCGAATGGCCAGTCAGAATTCAGTAGAAAAATGAAGTTGAAAACACAATTAAGTAACGACATCATCAAGTCAGCCATGGAAAGGTTAACTAAGAAGTAGTTTGTAACCGTGCGCATCCGTCGGTGTGCTGAAAATGTATAAACCTTTGATTAATTCAAGTTATATATGATTAAAATAATTGTGTACAATTAAATGCGAATAAATTAAACATACACACTATTGTTATTATTAAAATAATTCTGTAATTTTTTCATAGAATTTTCATACTCCGAATATACTATTATAAATAACTCTACAGAGTGCTTTTTTTAATTTAAAACGCAGAAAATATCGAAGATAACCCAATCTATGATCTTTCACTATCTTAAATAATATAGTACACTGTCAACATAGTTTCGTAGACCGTTATTTCATTTTGAATAAAAATGCATTTTATTTCCTAAAATTCGATTGACTTTGAAATGTCTTCAATAGTCTCATATACAGAAGAATTATTTATCCTACACAATATCCTCCTCCATATCAAATATCATTCAGTATAACAATTTCTTTTTCATATTTTCAATTTATAAAATATTTCTGAACTCTTGCCTGAAAGAAGTGGAGTACCCTGTATACTTTTCATCTTTTATGTATTTTGCTATAGCAACATAATGTTTATATAGTCACATTTTAGTTTCCTAATTTTTTCATAACAATTATTTTATTTGTTTCCACAAGGCGATTATGCCATGTTTGTTTCTATGTAGAATAATTCTACTCATCATGAAAATATGGCAGTACGTGCGCTTCATCTGAATTGAACTAACCAAGTATGCATTATATTTATTATAAGCTGACATTTAACGTACCTCCCGTGCACAAAAAAAATTTGTGAATCATCGACAGACCAATCGAATCGATGTTAGAATACTGATAAGATCGTATCAGTATCGTTATTTATTCAAATTACCAAAGTCACACAAATTTAGTTTCTTGATTCCTTCTAGAAGCACAATACCAAATTTGTATTCCATGGGGTACTTGAGTCTTTGTACTCACTTATTCCTAGTCACGAAATCATATTGCTAGGCTTGAAGCAAGTAAGTAAAGGAAACAACACAACGGATGTGAAAAATGTTATTAAATTAATACATTTACTAAGTCATTAATAATACGTTGCTTAAGATTGAATTAAGAAAATACGAGAATATAAAAAATAGTTTAGAATATTTTGAAAAATATAGTAAAATTCTTCGATCTTTAAATTTGTTCGAAAAATATGATGAAAAATGACCTTTGTATCATCTATTCAAATCATGGATCGATATCGCCGTTTGATTGGCAATCGTATTTTATTCCCTGACCATATTTCACCTTCGATCAACGTCGAGATGCATCTGGACACCCTTATAATTTAATGAAATATTGAATTAAGTTTCCTGGAGATCTATTATTTTATTCGTAATTTTAATAAAAATCTATATCTCTGTACTATTGACCTTACATGAATTAGAATTTTTATACACACCATACCGATTACCATAACTATTCTTAGTTAATGATCACCGATTAATTTGTGTCTATTTACTTATTCTTGTTTTCGAAAGATAATACAAATACTTAATATAAATCTATTACGAAAACTATTATTAGAAATACATAAATGTAACTCTGATTTGTGAAAAATGTGTGAAATATTAAATTTGTTGTAATAATAAATTTTTTGATGTAAACGAAATACGTCAGATTCGAATATTGTCGCAGGACCATGTATGTATATTTTGTGCCTTGAAAAAAATCATGGCAAGAAGATTAAACATCTTTTCAAAACCCCACTTCGTTAGAAGTTTTTATCCCCCATCTCGTCGTCTTCCTCCATGAAGTATCTCAATTTGCAATAAAAATATTAAAATTTATGAATTATTGTCTATAGTTGACAAATCATTACTACTGACATTGGTAACTATCGTGACTCTTAATTCGAACTTTTGAGGTACACGTCTGTTATTTATATAAATGGAAATTATTTTTACAAGTTCATATTTGTACAATATTCCTCAATATTCGATTGTTCATGAACTTAAAATATTACCACAACAATTAAATTATTACGCTATTCTTATAAAATTTCTGAATATTAAACGACCTTAAATTCTGTCGTGAAAAAAGTTATAATAATTTATTCTCACTTCAGTGCTAATACACCAATACCCCAAGCTCTAAATATTTTTCCAAAAATTAAATTATCGTTCTATTTTTCATGCTTCCAACTTCTAAAATTTTGTTCAGATCGAATATTTATGTCTTGGGACGACTCAGGAAAATTCACCGTAATGTGAAGCATAAAATGCTACGTCATGTAAATCATTAAATTCCCTTAGCTTTAATTTAAAACTGTTCGATTTGATTTGGTATTTATCGAACGTTTTATTTTGAACCCATTCAGTCTTAGCTACGTGTCTAACATCTAGTGCATGACCTGGACGAAAACGTTTTCCTAAAAGCCTGACTTCTAGTACATGACCTGAACCAGAACGCCATACTAAGAACTCGAGTTGTAGTGCGTGATCTGAACCAAAACGACCTGTTACGAGCCAGACCTACAGTTATCACTTTCAAACAATTATAAGTTATAGTTTGCATATGTGTGTGTTTGTATGTGTATGTGTGTCAAATGGGGATATATATCAGTAGAAATCCACATGATGCATTGAAAAATTGTCGTTTTTCGTCCACACGAAGTGTAAAATAGATAAAGACTTAGTATGTACAAATGTTTTTATTCGTGTAAAATATGCGACAAAATAATAGGATAACACATCACTGTCAGTGTTTCTCAATAATTTTAAAAATTTATTTCACAGAAAAAAAAAGATTATAAATCAAATTTTATTTTAAAAGGTCAGTTAGTATTATAACATTTTTGTAAATACAACAAAAATCGATATTTTTTACTTATTTCTTTCAATCCGAATTCAGCATTATTATCGTCTGCATTATTAGAAAAGAAATAATTTATATGACTATATATACGAAATTTGCATATTTGCATTAAACTTTGGAAACGCTAGAAATTGTAGAGTTGACTATCATTGTGTCGTGTACTGCATTATAAAGTACTTACATGCAGATACTAAAATAGTTCCAAACAATTATTAGACATAGTATCGAAGAACAAGAAGTAAGTTTGCTACTTTATAATTAAAACTGACTTTGAATAATATAGAAAAAATTCTGCCAAAGGCATCTACACTAGCTTTCGTAACACGTGTCCAAGGCAAGAGCAAGAATTTCAATAAAAAATGAGACTGTCAAAGTATTAATTCCCCGTATTTACAACTCATTCTAGGATTTCTTAAAGTCCTTCAGAATTTGGAAATTTAGGTTGAAGTTCAAATAACAGTTTTGTAATTAAACTAAAATTCTTTTAGTTTTTAAACATATAAATTAGAATTCAAGTAATATTAGATAATCTGCATTTTATCCTACAATCTTTAACTGTATCTTTTACACATTGACTATCTATCATGGGTTCCAAAGTGTAATATTTGCTAGAACTACCAACGGAGTCGAAATAACTTGTTTCAAACTTATTTTTGCAGTTTCTAATAATATCCTTTTAAAAAGGAAATATCGATTTTTATTTAGATAAGATTTTAATTTAGATAAGATTTTTATTGATAATTAATGGATAATTAAATGGCAATTATGGATTTTTTCTTTTTTATTGTATCAATTTAATTGTTATTATCTATATGTATTATATTTAGATACGCTTTGCTGAACGATAGTTTTAGTATTAAGGTCTAGATCAAATTAATTTTGTACCTAAATGCTGAATGAGATATAGCTTATAGTTGGAAATTTCAGTACATTTGTCATGCTTAATGGACGCGATCCAACTGTTCGTAGAAACAATCACAATTCTTGTCATATTACCGGAAAGAGCGGCTATCACTTCGTAGCATTAGATCGATAGTAGAGTCCTGTGACCAATATATAAGGCTACTATATGTACAGAGGCTTACTGTAAGGAGCTCAGTGCTTCTTATCTTAGCTCTGCTTAATCGAGTCTTCAGATATAGCTAAAATTTAGTATTCTTGTAGACAATAACTTGAATATGGAGACAAATTTTCTGGTGTAATTATCCATTTATGGTGGCACCTAATAATAAGTATTGTATTTTTGACGGTTGTCGTTTGAAAAGCGATGTAAAGAAATGAAACACGCATTAAATTTATATTATAGCGAAAATTTAAGCTATAGGAAAAAGAGGACTGTGTATATCGATGGTCTTGCATTAATATGATGGATGAAACTCATACATAAGTATAGCGTTTGTATTCTCATCACAGGACGTCATTACCAATACGCAAACTTTTCTTTCATTCGGGTTTTGAACATTGGATTATAGCATTTATGCTACAGTATATAGTAAATGTGCTAATTATTGCGTATATTTTCAATGGGTGGATTAAAACAGACCTCAGTTCGAATTATAGAAGTATGAAAGTTATTTAAAATATATATTGTATTCGCATAATTTTACTCGAATATGATTTAGATAATAAATAAGCAGAGATATTAATTATTAATATTGAGAAACTAAATGTATGAATTATGAATTGCGATATAAAGGAATTTAAATAAAATTTCCCACAGTTCGAATTTTTACTCTTGAATGGTTTGCTTTGCTATTTCTGCAGATAACTTTTATCCAATACCATACGGTTCAGGAACAACCCAAAATGGCAGTACAATTTTCTAGAAGCTATAATACTTGAGCTCAAGCGGATTTATGATACGTCAATTACTATTGAAAGGCAGAGCGAAAACCTTTAAATTCCCCGGTTAAAGCTTAAAGTTTCGAGTTCTCCTGGAATTAAATAGAAATAAACGAAATAATTCAAACATGCGTATCGAAATCATAGGTTAAAAATGACAATTAAGAATAACAAGGTATCACGATGGTATTGCGAATCCAATTTAAACTTATTTAATCCGAATATTTACCATTGATATATATGAGATCGGGAATGAAAGAGAAATATGTCACCCTCGTGTGATAAAAAGTTTGAAGGGTGAAACTTTATTGGAGGCATATTGATATTAGAAAAACTTTAATAACATTTTTTAATATCCGT